TCTGATTGAAAAAAAAATCGAGAGGTATAAACAAAAAATCCTCTTGTGTCCAGTGTAAAATTAAGGGAAGAATTTGGCTAAAAAAAACCTAGCAAATCGGAAGAATGTCTCCGATTTCAGAAATTGATGAGCTACAAAATGTCTTCAGTTTCCGATTCAAAATCTAGCATTTTAAAATAATTCTAAATGAAATTATTGCCAAAAATTGATTATTTCGAATGGTGTAATTTCCATTTACAAAATTATAAATGTTTTTTTTTAATACTTGCAAGTGTGTATTGTGTTGGTAGTCAAAAACAAAATTCCCTTTTTCGTACGTAAATAATTAATTGGCATATAAAAAACTAAAACAGATAGAATTTGAAATCGAAATAAAAGAATGTAATTAGACCGAAATCATTATAATTGAAAATATTTTTATGATAGCTCTTAATTTTAAGCGTAGAGGGGCGGTGAATGTAATTAAGTATATAGTATGAAAGATCTAACGCTGAGAAATTACGATTATAATGATAGGAAAGCCAAGTTCAAGATCATGTAAGAGCTGCTATCAATGCTTCTAGGGCGCCTTATGAACAACAATACTTTTGAAGAATACGCTGGTTGTTTGGGGATGCTGGCCAGCTCTCTCACTGTCATAGATGTAATAGGCTCGTATGCATATTATGAAGGAGCGTATATGCATTCTTAAGAGTGTGTAATCAAAGTACTTACAGGATTATCACAACTTTTAATTTAAGGTCTCTACGATCTTTAACCATGCGTTTTTTTGAATACTTATTAAAGCTGCGCGGGCTCTGAAACGAAATTCTTCTTCTTTTGCATAGTTTATCTAATAAAAGTGTATTCTCCTGTATATTTGAAAAAATGTTCGTCTGGCTTCATTTGAATGTATGATGAGGATCTTTGCGTCACACTTTCATCATCCAAGTAATGCCAAGGTATTTCAGAAACATATTTTATTTACAAGAAATAAGGTATCTTCAAAAAAAAATTGAGTCATGTTGTTTTCAAGCAAGTCTCACTTATTCATGGCGATCGGATTTTGCGAGCGCCATCTCTGAGTCCCAATGCAAACCAAAGGGAAACTTTACACACTTGGGTATTCGTTTATATATTTGTCAAACATTGATATCTGTCAAAAGAAACAACGTAAACAACACGAAGTGAATATTTTTCTGGTGTACTATCGGTATCATTGGGATTATTGCAAACAAAAAATTAAAAATGTTGACAGTTTTTTTGTTCGATAAATCTTAATTTTGTTTGCAAGAAAAAAATATATGAGCATCTGGCGAGATAGAGATGGCGCTTCTTTAATCGAATCGCGTTCAAATACATTGTCAGTATACAACGTAAGTGACACTCGTTTTTAAGTGTTAAAAAATGTATGGAAATTTTCATTATTTCATTATTTATATAAAATAAATGATGATCATTAGGTAATTCGGCTGTTATCTGGGTTTCTGGTTTGAAATAGAAGGCTATGGCGTTTTTAATCGAATCAAAATCGCTTGATTGAGATTGGGATCGATTTTATAATGTTAAGAATAGAAACGAAAAAAAAAGTTTGCTTCTGAATAGTAAATTATTTTAATTGCAATAATTTCGAGGGTTAAGGAATTTTACAGTAGAATTACGACCTCAATTTCATTTTTATAAACAATTACTCATTCAAATAAATTCAGTTAAATTCTTGGCTGAATAAATTATTCAATGACGACGACAGTTATTAATCATGTTCTTGTAGGTTTAATTGTTTCACATAATCGTCATAATCTTTCAAGTACTGTGGTTTTTTGCCCGAAGCATATCCATCTCCTTGATAATAATCGTAAGGATGAACTACATCTTGTCCAGTGTAAGCAGCAGTAATACGATCAGCTTCGCCAAAGATGTAATCGTATTGAGCTCTTCCAAAATTATCTGCCGGGGAGTGCGATGCATGGCGTGCTTCTACCTCCTCATCGGTAATTTCTCTATTATATTCTTGTTTTACATTGTCGGCATATTCACGTAGCTTGCCAGCAACTTTAGAAGCTGGTTTTTGACTTGATTTGATAGCATTTTTCAACTTGGATTTCTTATTATTAAATACAATCAACATTAGCATTAGTTCTTTAATTATTTAATACCAACATTGCATATTACACTTACCACACCACTTGGAGCACCTTTTGATTTGGATGTAGACTCCTTCCCTCCTGCTTCCACGCTTGAAATTAGGAGCTATAATAAATAAGGGCGCGAATGAAAAGATTTGAGGAAATGAAGAAGAAAACTTCAGTTTAAATTTTAAAGTTGAAAATCAAATACCTCACAGAACAAAACTCCAATGAAAAGAAGTACAAAAACCTTTCGATTTAACATTTTTAGTGTTTCCAATAGTCTACCTATCAACGATTCAAGGTTCACTAATGATTTGATGTCGGTTGGTGATCAATTTATATATACAATTTTCAAGAGACAAATAATAATTTATGCGAGCACATGCGAATTCTTATAACTATTTAATAATTATTAAGTATTGAATAATAATTAAATAATATTATTATTATTAAATAAATAATATTATTATTGTAATAATAATAAAATAAGAAAAAAATAATTATTAAATAATATTATTATTATTATTAAATAATTATTAAATAATTATAAGAATTCGCATGGGCTCGCATAAATTATTATTTGTCTCTTGAAAGAGTATATATAAATTGATCACCACCCGACATCAAATCATTAGTGAGCCTTGAATCGTTAATAGGTAGACTATTGGGAACACTAAAAATGTTAAATCGAAAGGTTTTTGTACTTCTTTTCATTGCAGTTTTGTTCTGTGAGGTATTTGATTTTCAACTTTAAAATTTAAACTGAAGTTTTCTTCTTCATTTCCTCAAATCTTTTCATTCGCAACCTTATTTATTATAGCTCCTAATTTCAAGCGTGGAAGCAGGAGGGAAGGAGTCTACCTCCAAATCAAAAGGTGCTCCAAGTGGTGTGGTAAGTGTAATATTTAATGATGGTATTTAATAATTAAAGAACTAATGCTAATGTTGATTGTATTTAATAATAAGAAATCCAAGTTGAAAAATGCTATCAAATCAAGTCAAAAACCAGCTTCTAAAGTTGCTGGCAAGCTACGTGAATATGCCGACAATGTAAAACAAGAATATAATAGAGAAATTACCGATGAGGAGGTAGAAGCACGCCATGCATCGCACTCCCCAGCAGATAATTTTGGAAGAGCTCAATACGATTACATCTTTGGCGAAGCTGATCGTATTACTGCTGCTTACACTGGACAAGATGTAGTTCATCCTTATGATTATTATCAAGGAAATGGATATGCTTCGGGCAAAAAACCACAGTACTTGAAAGATTATGACGATTATGTGAAACAATTAAACCTACAAGAACATGATTAATAACTGTCGTCGTCATTGAATAATTTATTCAGCCAAGAATATAACTGAATTTATTTGAATGAGTAATTGTTCATAAAAATGAAATTGAGGTCGTAATTCTACTGTAAAATTCCTTAACCTTCGAAATTATTGCAATTAAAATAATTTACTATTCAGAAGCAAACTTTTATTTTCGTTTCTATTCTTAACATTATAATAAAAAGTCTTACGGGAGTAAGACGAACTTTTCCGCACTGTGGTAGTTGCGTATTTTATTAAGAAAGTTCAAAATAATATTTGTTCGATTTTTCAAGCCTTTCAAGCGTCGTAAAGTTCGAAACCAAAAAATATGTTTCAACTTTGGCAACGAAATATTTTTTAATTTAATAGCAGAAGTACCCGAGAAAAGATTATTCACACTTTCATGATGAACCCATTTGTACGACATTTGAAAGTATTCTATTTTCTAACAAAATACTATAAAAAATATGTCTGACGTTAATTTTGCCATAAAAATTATTTTTGAAACACTTTCCATAACTAAAGTCACAAAAAATTTGGATCTTTGTATGTGAGCCATGTCTGTATGCTATATTAATGGTGTGAAACTTTGCACAGGTTATTTTTTCACAAAAAAATAACATTCGGAAGGTTTGGAGAAATTTTAACCAAAATTAAGAGTACCTCCCATGCAAAATATTCGTTTTTGAGCCAAAAATTGAAAATTTTGTATGGGAGGTACCCCTAATTTTGATTAAAATTTTGATTAAAATCTCTTCAAATTTTCAGAATGTTATTTTTTTGTGTAAAAAATAGACTGTGCAAAGTTTCACGTCATTAAGGTAGCATACATGCATGGATCCCATACAAAAATTCATTTTTTTTGTGATTTTTTCAAGGAAATTGTATTAAAAGTTGATTGTATCTCAAAAATAACCTCAGATTCGGTTTTCTCGTGCCAAAAAACCCCCCAATACATATTTTTGAATGTTTAAGTCCACATTAAGTATGACTTTTGGACGAAAATTGGACTCTTTTTCATAGGTATCACTCCAGGCATGACATTTTTTCCCATCAACCAAAGTCGCTCAAAAGCTAATGATTTCTATTCCTCGGGACCCCCAATCATCCTGTAAAGTCAGATTTTGAATTAAGTTTCTACGATGAGCGCAATCTTGCTAACAAATTTTGCGTACGACGTACAACGTACGACGTACAACGTACGACGTACAACGTACGACGTACAGATTAACATAAACCATGCTCAAAACGGCCTGATTCGGGTTCGCTGACCTCAGAAACGTCCAGAAAACATGTTTCTGAAGTTTTCAAAATTTTGACCGATTACAATACTTTTCACCTTACACTATGTGTGCGGAAAAGTAAAATCGATCCCTAGGGGCAGAGCAGTACTAGAATAATAATTTTTGTTTAAAGTAATTCTATGTTGTGAGTAGTAATCATAGCTGGGCAGACAGGGGGGGGGGATTACCCCCTCCTGAGGCATCAAATTTTAGCGTTACCCCTTTACAAAATCATCAAATCTTTGCGTTACCACTTTACAAAATTCATGATTTTGCTAGGAGTTTTTGAGAAAATTACCCCCCCAATCCCCCCCCTGAATTTTTCAGTCTGCCCAGCTATGGTAGTAATCCATATTAATCCATATTAATACACACTTACGTAAATTCTAACAGCAGTGCAATGACTTTCATGTGTACGTTGTGTATGACATTTGCTAGACATAAATCGATCGCCGTATATTTTGGATGAGACATTTTATTGTTAAAAAATGGAAAATAACGAATTTAATTTAATAAATATCGAATAAATTGCTTCAATCCGCAATATACGACGATCGCTTTATTCCTAACAAATGTAATACACAACGTACACATGAAACGTCATTGCACTGCTGTTTGAATTTACACAAGTGGTTATTACTGCGGATTAATATGGATTACTACTCACAACATAGAATTACTTTAAACAAAAATTATTATTCTAGTACTGCTCTGTCCCTAGATCGATCCCAATTTTACTCTTAATCAAGCGATTTTGATTCGGTTGAAAAAGCCATAGTCTTATTTCCACAGCTGCTCCCTCTGCTCACACTCTTCTATTTCAAACCGGAAACCCAGATAACAGCTTAATTACCTAATGATCATCATTTATTTTATGTGCTCAAACATTAAAATCGACACATATTTATTTGTTTCAGTACACTTTTTTTCACTTTATTGTTTTTTTCGTCAGCCACATTTGAATGTATGACTGCAGATCACTCGTTGTATCATTTTCACTATCGTTCTGCTTCAAAGTTGTTTCAAATGAGTAGATTTTTACCGTAAACAAGACAACGTTTCGTGTACATTTTCACTTGATTAGACGAATTCCCAGCGGCAATTATCAAAGTTAATTTTGAAATTGTGGTAAACACCATAGATTTGTCGAATGAGATTTCTTGGTCAATTGATCTCCATTTTTCCGTATTTTTCCTGGATTGTTTGTATTTTTTTCCATCGATTTTCACATGATAAACGTAACTGCATACATCTCCATTAGTGCATATTCCATGCCTTCATTTTTTTTGGACTGAATGCGGTCGTATTCGAAATGGATACATGAGCCCGCAAGCGGTACACCAGTTAATCGTTAAATAAAAAAATATGTAGTGACAATTTTAAATAATCGAGCTATTTGTTTTTGAATTAATCGCATCACATTAACTTGGGGTATTTTCAGTTATTTTGTATACGTTGCCCGACTTATTTGTCTTCTAGTAGAAACTCTTTTTTTATGCAACGCTGTTTTTCATTGAATGCGATCGTGTCGCTGTACTCTTTAACGCTTGGTGCCATTTTTATTTTTTTAATTAAAATTAATCACCATTCATTTTGCAATAAATGTTTTTATATCTTCATTAATGTTTATAGTTTATTAAACGAATACGGCACTCAATCCATAGGTGCTGGAAAAAAAATCGAATGAAAGCAATATACATGCGATGCAAGTTAAAGCGAAGGTATTACAAAACGAAACAGTGCATATGCGAATTTGGTTTTGCAGGAAAAAAAACAAGTTAGAAACACATTTTAGAGTAAAAAAATATTCAACAAAAGGATTGAGTTAATGTTCTGGACGGATTTTCTTCTAAAAACCCATTTCCCATGATCAAACAAAGAAAAAAGCCATAAAGCTGACAATGACAATGATGAGAATTGAAGATCACAACATTTATATGCTCATTGTTTTGAAAATGTGTACACTTGTTATAACCAAATTCAGGTCAAGCTGATAAGTAACCGAATTGAATAGGTGAAATACGTCCTTGAAAAATGAACTCTTGCAAAAACGAAGCCATTTAAACTCATTTGCTAGCATTTTGCGCACCAACTGTGATGTTGGTCTCATTGTTTCGGTACAAGAAATGCCAACTCTTTTTTATGACCTTTTCCTTTCAAATGAAACCGATTATCACTAATTTTGATGTGCAAAAATGCAAACAATGCATGATCGCATACAGTTGAATTCAAGGTGATGCGTTGTCGTTTTGCACTTTCGGAAATGCAATTTACCATTTGTAAAGTGTCATAAACCAATTTATTTCACTTGATCCCCACAAAAATGCTGTGAGACTAATGTGCTCGGAATACGATTTGTACGAATAGATCAATCTCAAGCTTACAGTATATAGTATGTAGAGTGTGACTAGTTTTAATCCTTTGGCCATCGACAGAGCGACAGAGAGGAAGAGACAGAGAGCAAGTGAATTTTTCTTTCATAAGTTCTGTGCAAGTGGTCATTAATTCTAAGGGTTAGAAAAGTATGTGTTCCTTAAATCATATATCCTGCTGCAACTTCAATTTGTATTCGACAATGTTGAAAAAGAGTCAAAGTACGGTCAGAGTGTGTGTATGTGTCGTTCGAATCGATAGAATTGTGTACGGACACATTTTGTGTGACCACGGTAATTTTTCAAGCCTCGCCTCAGCTAGATCTCTTTTTTCTGATTCG